AAGAGATAGAAGCTCGGGTTTCCAGTACGGATGGTTATACAAATTACTTGTCTATATGACACTGGCCACATCACTTAGTCTTTCAGACATCAGCTTCTTCATTTATAAAATTTTATTTATAAAATAAAATAAAACATTTTAAGACCCCTACATTGTCTTTAGCAATGAAAATTCTATAATTTTAAGAATTTAAGAATGATTAGTTGGTCTTTTATTCACCTTATGTTACTGTTGGAAAATCTAGTCTTTAGATTTGGTCTAGTCTTTAGACCATTTCCTCCTCTTTCATTCCCCACTAATTTTAAAAGTTTCTCTAATATGGTGCCATCTTAATACAGGAATCCCCACAGTTGGGAAGGCTTCCAGGCTAAAAAGGAGTTACTGAGTCACCAGATAATTTTAGTGAAAGGAAAAAGAATCAATTTTTAAATATGTATTTTTAATAACATTTCTATAACTGTTTTCCCATACGTACAGCAATAAACAGAAACTATATATTGAATATTTTAAAAATTTGGCCTGTAGCAGTGTTTCCTTTTCTGTCTAATGAGAACTGCAAAGAGGTTAAAATTTTAAGTTATGCTTAATTTGACTTAAGTAAATCCCAAAAATACTCTTACAGAAATAAAGACAAAAGAAGGATGTTTCTTTGGGAAGAATCCTGGCTGAGACTCTTAGAAGGCTTAGGTATGAATCTTGCTCACATGATATCCCGTAAAATCTATTTTACATCTTTGGATCTATAAAATGTAAACACTATCCTCACTGGATCACTATGAAAATTACATAAGACAGGAAAAGTGAAAGTAGCTGGTCGAGTGATTGCCACAGGAGGGCCTCAGTTAGTGGTAACTGCTATTAATTTTTAAAGCCATGAACGTAAAGGAGGAAATAAATAAACTTAGTTTATTATGTTGCAAGGGATGAGAATTAACAGTGCACTAAGACAAAAAAAAAAAACTGTTCAAATTCTTCATACTGCCTCTCTCCTTTCCCCCTGACTACCCCTCAGACCCACCCCAAGACATACAAATAAGGAGAAAAATGAGAGATTATTGTCAGGAATTCCCTGCCCTCCTCCCAGCTTCCACATATAAACTTCAGCTTTTTGCAAAGAAAATACTGACAACTCAGCCTATGTTTAGCTTGTAACTTTAACAGAGAGTCTAGAATAGTCTATCAGGCTATGTCTCAGGCATATATCTGTTTTTGGCTAGTCTACCCTGACAAGTCATTTGTTAGCCTAATTAGATACATTATTCTAAATCACCCACAGAAGAAATACTCTTGTAAACGCATGCAATCTTTGAATCATGGCTGTATAACATAAGACCTCAAGGGAAAAGCAAGATGAGGGTAATCTTACTTATGTTCACTGAGATAAGATTAAAGAAACAGAATTCTAATTAAAGAGAATATTTTTTACATACAAATTTATACTAAAAAATATTATACAATTAATTTGTTTGCTAACTCTTACTCTAGAAACTATTAAGAATCATTTCCACCCATTCCCTAAACTTGTAAAATAATGCTTGTAAATTGGTTTTCTTTCTGAAGCATTCTTCCCCTGGGGCTAATCTACTAAATAATCGATGCTGTTCTGATTTCATGACTTAAGTGTTTTTGCTGTCCCACTGATGTCCCTCTCAATAATAATAGCTAAAATGCATGAAGAACATACTATGTGCTAGGAACTATTCCAAGTACGTTGTACAGTTTTTCACTTAATGTCACAATAACACTATGAGGAAGATTCTATCACTGCCATTTCACAGCTGAGTAAACTGACGCTGAGAGAGTTGAAGGAACTTGCTCAAAGTCATAAAACTAGTCAATGGCAAGATCCATGGACTCTGACTCAAAAGCCAAGTTCTAGATGATAATCCTACGCTAATCCTTTGCTCCTTTCATAGTGAAGAACTGGGAGAACAATGCTAAGGAAACCCAGATTTGCTTTGTCTCTTAAGATAACACTGAAAAGAAATCTCTATTCCTGTTCTGCTTGCTACCTTTTTCTAACTATAACCAAAAGGGCTAACTTGGACACACCAGAACTAAAATATTTATTGCTACAGAAAAGTATATTCAAGTAAATCCACATACAACCCTATAATCTTGTATAATGGAATTTCAGAGTTACATGAAATAAAATTAATTCATAAATATTTATTAAGAACTATTATGTTCTAGATGCTTGGGATAAACCAGTGAACAAGTCAGATTAGAAGTCCTCTGCCTTAGTAGAGGTTTCTTATATGAAAAATAGGTAATAATCAAAATAAAAAGAAGTATATTTTGCAGTATGTTGGAAACTAACACCCCTGTAAAAAAATTTAAAATATATCAATGGGGAGGGAATCAGCAGCACCAGTGGATAATCAGGCAAACTGCAGTGTTAAATGGGGGTGGTCATGAGTTGCTAAGAAGTAAATCTAAGCAAAGACCTGAAGAAGATGAGGACTTGAAGGAGGTGAATAACAGCAAGTGGGATCCAGGGGAAGAGAATTTTAGGTAGAAGGAACAGTTGATAGCAAAGGCCCTAAGAGCATGATTAGAGCAGAGGAAGCAAGTAAGAAGTAAAAGAGAGGAATTCGTTTATAACGTAATAGGCAGCAGATCACATAGAGTCTTACAACCTATTAGAAGGACTTAGGATTTTATGGAGTAAAACAGGATTGGAAAATTTTGGCAGAAAGATGACGTGATTTGATGTTAGACTGCTATACTGAGAATATATCAAAAGGTGACAAAAATAGAAATAGGGAGATGAGTGAAAAGGCTACTCCAATAATCCAGGTGAAAACAATGATTCAGATGAAGTTAATGTAATCTAGGTGGTAAGAAGTAGTCAGCTTCTAGATATGTTTTAAAAGAAAACAGAATTTCTTGACAGACTGGATATGGGGTGTGAAAAATAAGAGTCAAATTCTTGGCCTAAGCAACTACTAGAAGAAGATGCCCATAAACTGAGGTGGTAAGGACAGGTAGGTAGAGCATTTTAGGGGTGAGGGATGAGATAATGACACCTTTTCGGACATGGTAAATTTGAGATGTCCAGAAGGTTAAGTGAAAGAGGGGTATTTAACAAGGAGGGAGTTAATCATCTACATCAAATGCTCCTGACACGTCACTAAGACAAAGACTCAGACTGACCACTGGATTTAGCAATTTAGGTCACTACGAACTTGATTACTTTCAAGGAGTTTTGATACAAAGGAAGGCAAAGAAAGGAACAACAAGTAGAGGGGCAACCGGGGCCAAAAAAAAAAAAAAAAGCTAAAAGAAGGGAACAGAAATTTTATCTGCTGCCCGCCACAGGAAAGAAAGAGTATAGAGTTTGACCAAATTAACTGATATATATTTTTTAAAACACTCAGTACTCAGAAGACCATAACACAGTCTCTGCAGTCTAGCACTTAAAGTGTCTAATATATAATCCCAAATTACTAGACAAAGAAACATGAAAAAGTGGCTCACTAGACATTAGATTTAGCAGCCCAAGATTTTTAAAGTAGCTATATTACAATTATGCTCAAGAATATAAAAGAAGATCTGCTTAAAATAAAGATCAAAGAGGCAATCTCACAAGAAACAGAAATTATTTAAAAAAGAACCAAATGGACATTCCAGAAAAAAAAAAACAAGATCTGAAATTTTTTAAAAACTCATTGAATGGGGTTAACAACAGATTGGAGATGATGAAAGAGTCAAGAGAACTTTAAGATAGGTCAACAGAAAGTATCCTATCTGAAGAAAAAATCAAAAAATATTTGGAAAAATAAATAGAGCCCCAGAGATCTGTGGGATAGTATCAAAAGGTCAAAAATATGTATGACTGGAATCCCTTAAGGAGAGAGAAGAGAGATGGAGCAGGGAAAAAAGTTGGAAGAAATAATGGGTCAGAATTCCCCCAAAAATGGTAAAAAAAACAAAAAAAACAAAAAACCAAACCCATAAATTTAAAAATTCATGAAGCCCAGCTAATCTCAAGACAAACAGAAAGAAAAATCACACCTAAGCACATCATAGATAAAAGTCTAAAAACCAAAGATAAAAAATAATAGGGCTTCCCTGGCGGCGCAGTGGTTGAGAGTCCGCCTGCCGATGCAGGGGACACAGGTTCGTGCCCCGGTCTGGGAAGATCCCACATGCCGCGGAGTGGCTGGGCCCATGAGCCATGGCCGCTGAGCCTGCGTGTCTGGAGCCTGTGCTCCGCAACGGGAGAGGCCACAACAGTGAGAGGGCCCGCGTACAGCAAAAAAAAAAAAAAGCAGCCAGAGAAAATGACCCATTACAAAGAGAGGAACAATAATATAAATGCATGCTGACTTCTCACCAAAAACAATGAGAGGGACTTCCCTGGTGGTACAGTGGATAAGACTCCACGCTCCCAATGCAGGGGGCCAGGGTTCGATCCCTGGTCAGGAAACTAGATCCCACATGCATGCCCCAACTAAGAGTTCACATGCCACAACTAAGGAGCCTGCATGCCACAACTAAGGAGCCAGCCTGATGCAACTAAGACCCAGTGCAACCAGATTAAAAAAAAAAAGAAAATACTTACTTAAAAAAAAAAAAAAAATGAGAACCACAAGACTGTGGGATGACATCTTTAAGTGCTGAAAGTAAAAAAACTGTCAATCCCGAACCCTATACCCAGTAAAAATATCCTACTGGAATAAAAGTGAAATAAAGATTTTCAGATAAAGAAATCTGAGAGTTATGTCTCTAACAGATCTCCACTAAAAGAAATCCTAAAAGAAGGTCTTCAGGTTAAAGGCAAGTGAGACTAGATGGAAACTTGGTTCTTCAGGAAGAAGTGAAGAGCAACAAAAATGATAAATAGGTGGGTAAAAATAAAACAATTTTCCTCTTACTATATTTAAAATACACATTAACTATTTAAAGATCTAATTGACAGCTTGGATTAATGATATATCAGCCTCAGAAGTAATTTCTCTTATTTCCCCATCTATATTTATAGAAAAGTACAGTACCTGTTTTAGTTTCAAAAAGAAATTTTCAGTAGTACTACGTTTGCTGAAGGGCCAGAATAATCTTTCATTAGGTGAGCAAACTCGGACTTTTGTCTCTAGGAGAAAGCGAACAGGCTCCTGCACTTCTGTTATTACTAAATCAACAGCTGTCGTCATAAACAGCACTTTATCTAGGGAGAGAGAAGGCAGAAGCAAATTTTTTAAATGGAAATATATTTGCTCATATGATTAATGTAAAAGTAATTACTTCTATTACAAACTTTAAATGACATTCAGGAAGAGTATGAAACATCTTGAAAAAGGTTGTTTATGCATAGCATACCTGAAAAGCTACACAAGAAACTGGTCACAGTGGTGCTCTTTAGGGTGGGACACTGGGAACTGTGGTAAACTTTTGCTTTTCCCTAGATACCTTTGAATTTTTAACTATATGTGCATATATTATCTCTCCACAAAAACAAGTAATATTTAGAAGCCTGTAAATAAATTAAATTAAATATAAATGTAAATTAAAAATAAAAAATAAAATAAATATTTAGAAGCCTGTAAATAAAAAAAAATAATATATTTTTTAAAAGTACATAAATAGAAAAGGAAGCAGGAAAAGGAAAAAATGAAGAAAGGAGAGGGAGGAAAAAATACTTTGTTTACTGGTCAAATTTAACAGTAAACTCAAAAAACTATTCAAATTCCTTTGTTTCATCAGAAGTAGGTAAACACTAAGTATTTATCAAATAAGTAGTGCTAAGATTTGGGTATCTCCTTGGGACTAAAATTTCTGTTCATGATGTCAGCAATCTGCATCACCTTTAGGAGTTTCTTCATTTACAATCTGAAAATGTGGGGATTTTGGATTCCAGCTCCCAGTAATAACATAGGATTTTCCATCTGAACTTTTGCCCATAGATTCCTAAAGAAAAGAGTAAAAACAACATTAATGCAAAAAAAAAAAAAACACCACACACACAAAACAGCTAACCCGCCATTCTGCTGCCTTTAAAAAAAAAGAGGTTACAAAAATATAAGAATATGAAACAGGATCATATACATATAAAAGTTAGGAGTATATACAAATGATTACAGTTAAAATTAAAGATGTGCCGATTATTTATGCAACTGCTCCTGAAAAGTTATACATAAAGCAAATGCTTGCAAATCATATCAAACCGTACAGACACTAGGGAAATTTACTACCTAAACCTATGTTGAATTCTTCTGTCAAGTAAGTAATTACTACATAAATTTAGTTATGAAAACAAAGGTTTTCACATAATAGCAACAATATGAACACCACCTACTTTTATAAAGCTCATGATAGTTTGCAAATAACTCTCACAAAATGTCTCCTTTGATTCCCACGTCAAACCTACATGATAAACAAGAATTATTCACTATTATACGATGAAGAAACTGAGACAGACTAAGTAGCTCTAAGGTCAGACTAGTAAACAGCAAGTAGGAAATAAGGAAATTCCCTTATCTTTGTTTATTGCTTCATAAATGTGCTTTAACCTTAGATTTGGTGAAACAACCTTTATAGAGGAAATAGTGTATAAACTTAAAAAAAAAAAAGCAATCCTTACCAAATCTAACAAGTGCATGTCACTATTTCGTACATCTTTTCCTGGGCTAAGGAGAAGACCAAAACACCTGCAAAAAAAGAACTGATATAAATTTGGAAAAGAGACTACAGAAAGATGTTTAAATTAGATCGCTTTAAAAAAATTCTTCTTGATAGAAAAAAGGACATATTAAAATTATCAATAAAATAGCATTACCAAAATCACCTTTATTTCTTTGAGATAAACAAATTTTATGTTTGCCTTGTGTTATCACATAGTTGAGATCAACATATTAGCTGAAGATTTATGAGAGATAATTCAAAATGAATGAAGTATTCACTTTAATGAACAAAAGAATTCCTCAGGGAACAAAATATTTTGCAAATACATTTTTGAATACAGTATATGACTGCTCCACTAGACTGACAAAAACTAAAATTTATATTTAAGCCAAACTTACTAAAAATGTTTACCTTTCAATGGCAAGTTCCTTATTAGTTGTTTGTTGCACATAGATGACAATCTTTTTATCAATTCCTTGGCGTAGTTTAAAGCATTGTCTGTCTTTATCTTTAGGAACTGCACTGTAGAACAACATGTTTCATTAATTTTGCAAAGCACTTTCTCGTAACATACACCAGAACAATTTTTGTTATGATTTGAAAATCAGGCACTGAAAAGAATCACATTTAATTCTTTTCTATGCCTAGTATTCAAATCATAACAGATATTTAAAAATCATCATCTGCCTCTTGATATGAAAATATCATCATTACTGTATGTAATCCACTAAACCATTATAGAAACCATTTATAAAAGCTACAAAACCACTCTTATGACCCCTAAAACGTGGCTTTAGTTTTTTCTTTTTTGTTGCTGTGAAAATTAAATTAGATATTTATAAAGCTCCAAGGCACTCAAAAAATGTTAGTTTTTTTCACTTTCTATTTAGTCACTGTTTTTTACAAATAAATTATTCATGCCTTATTTGTTTAAATATATAATGAAGAAAAGATAATTATATAGATCCTTTGAATTTCAAAACAAGGTGCTTTCAAAGAACAAGAAATGAGGAAGATATAGTCAACAGTAAGCTGTTGCCTAATTCTTCCCTTAAGCAGCAATAACCTTACTGTAAGCATGTGTAATAACTATAAAAATAACATTAATGATGCAGTTAAACATCACCTTAAGAAAACAGTTGAAAATATTCTCTAAATGACAGTTTACCAAAATAATCCCCTGGTCTCCCACCCACCATTTCTCTAGCTCCTTTGTTCTCAAAGGCTTACAAATCTGCTACAGCAATCAGCCAATATACAGCAAATCTAAATTGTGCCTTATTACTGTACAACTTTAAGATAATAACAATAGAACCACTAGAAGATAATATAAAAGGCTACATGAGAGCTCTGAGTACCTACTCAAACTAAAAATTGGCTCTGAAGAAATAAAATTAGTTTGAATCCCATCTGCACTACTACACCAGTAACCAATTCAAGAACATGTGATAACGCTGAGATTAGAAAATCAAAGAATCTTAGCATAAGTGTCTAAAAATGACCAACATGCAAGAAAAACTTCTGCATACCAAACTGTCAAATATTTGTGGCTGACAGAATTTTCACCTATGAGGATATGGACAGATCTCAGATTTTAATTTATATTAGATACACTAGTCTCTATGTTCTGTGGATATTTAAGTATAAATTAATATAATCTCATCTCTCAGCAGTATTTAAAACAACAACAGTGGAAATAAAGTTATCTCTGGTGTCCTGACTCTGAAGGGCAAGGAAAAGCTACATTAATAGGAAGCAGGGTGGAGAGTATAAGCAGTGGAAGTTCACTTCACTGATGTTGGGGGGTCTAGACTGTATTTCTGGTCTTATCACTATCATTGAATGAATGGATCCAACCAAGTAATTTTACATTTAATTCCTATTGTGTAAATTAAGAAGCAGACATCCAGGTTATCTTCCCTGGCTTTCTTTACCTATAAAATAAGGACAATATCAAATGGGGTACTTTGCAGATTAAATAAGATCAGAACGAAGTGTTTTGAATGATATAAATGAAAATGCTCCATTTTCCTAAGGACTAAACTGAAATGCAGGTTTCTAATTTTAATAATATAGGATTATACTTTTTCAGGAATGAAAAGAAGAGCATTAATTCTTGCCACGGCACTTGGTCTATATTTATGCTATGGCGAAACCACAATCTATCTTGTACTATGGCTAACTATATATACATATATTTTTTAAATAAGTGGTAAGTCATATGGGTATACCATTGTATCTTTTTTTAGGTGTAACTGACATACAACATTAGTTTCAGGTTTACAACATAACGATTTGATATGTGTATATTTTGTGAAATGCATCGTATTTTTACCATTCTATTCTGGTCAACATTTAATTTCCACTTTTTAATTTTGCTATTATTGTGTTAAGGGGAATGTTCATGCTGATAACTCTTTTGGCACCGCAATGACTGTTTCTGTAAATTCCTAGACATACTACAGAATCACTGGATGAAAGGAACTGCATTTGAAAAGTTCAAATCTGATGAAGAAAGGCATACTTGTCAATGATTTCATCAGTGTATTAGGTCACACAACACTATTTTCTACTGTAACTATAAATTCAGGAAAACAATGCAACAAAAAGATAACAAAGCCCTAACAAATGTGAAAAAAAAATGACCATCCAGGGGTTTTCTGTATAGCATTTCCTTGCTATACAGGTGAACAGACCAGGGATATTTGTGATCGTTACCTTTCTACTTAGAATATACCTGATCTCAGAAGGAGGAGAAATTATCCTAGTGCTTCTCTTCTGAGAGATCTTAGAAATCTTTCCTATTCATAACTGGGGTTTATAAGTGATCTACATAAATATTTTTAATAAAGGGAAAAAACTGTTTAAACAAACTGTTCTGTTTCTTAAAAAGGAAAAAAATTATTACAAGGTTTATAGATTACAGTTTCTACTTCCCAGTACAGGAATGCATACTGCAGAAAGCACCACATCACAGTGTTGCTGTGAGAACAGAAATATAGCTAATAAGAAAGCATAGAGCACAAGGCCTCACACTTGATTGTACAAATCAAAGTTGAAGCTGCACTGTACACTAAATTGGCCACCAGATGGCATGACAATTCCAAAGTCTCTTGAGGGAGAGCAAAGGTTATCAGTTTTTCAAACAAACAGACCAATCATTGTGCTTTTTAATTTAAAAGCAAGATATTAGAAATCATTCATATTTTGATGGAATTTCATTTTATGAGGTAGTCATGGAGGAAAGAAATTTCTATATGCAACTATTGATTATGATCCCAAGTGGCACCCATTTTGTGATATGGGCTATGGAGAAAAAAAAAGTCAATCATCTTGCAACCATAATATTTTAAAGTTATAAAAGATTTTAGAGTCTAGCCACTTCATTTTATAAATAAGGAAACTAATGTCAGGAGATGTAAAGAAACTTGGAAAAGGTCACACTGTTAATGGTAGCAATAAGTAAACTAAATTTAAGTTTTAATTTCTATTCCAGGGTTATTTTCACTACTCAAACAAGCATAATTTTACTTAAAAACCAAAACCAGTTATTTCTATGTAAGGTTAGATTTCAGATACAGACCTCAATTCTCCCCTTCCAATGTGTTCAGATAAACTTTAATGGTAAAACTTGATTTCAACAGCCTTAAGACCTTTACATTATTAAAACAAATAAACCAACTAACCAACCAAAACACAAAAAAAATCCAGCAAAACAAATCTAGCTACAGATCCACCTGATGAAGCTTCTGTCATACTTCATATCAGCAGTCAGCCAGTTACTCTGAGTCCATCTAAAAGAACATGGTAGCATGATACATTTTCCTACGTGAAAGAATTTTTTTTATTGTTTAAAATTCTTTAAATCTTGCCTCTACAAATTTGCCTATTTATTTTCCTTTAAACTCTATCCATAAAAGCAATCATTTTATAATGTAAAAGTTATGTAATCTGACCTAGAATTTCCCTAAATCCACAGATAGTACAGCATGTTAATACAAACTCAAATAAAAAGAATAAAATAAGATGTCCTACCTAAAATAACCTTTACCATCATCTTCTTTTATTTCTAAAGACACAGAGAAGGTAAAGATGTCACTGTCAGGAGTCTGAGGTGCAGTAGTTGCTGAGAGGGGGGTCTGCTTGGCAGAACGGCGGAAGGCAGTGGCAAAACTGTAAAGTATCCGGCTCACCTACAACCAGACATGTTAGGAAATGGGCTGTTATCACAAGAATAAAATACTTTTGTTAAGGCTGAAGGTGACCTATGTTGTTTGAGGGGAGTAATTCATCTTTCCTCCATTGATTTCTTTTGACAAATTATCTAATTTATTAGACCTATAAAGCAAGCAACACTAAAAATGGTCAGAGAAGAGGCTTTAAAAAAGAAGTGGTTGTGGGGCTTCCCTGGTGGCGCAGTGGTTGAGAGTCCGCCTGCCAATGCAGGGGACACGGGTTCGTGCCCCGGTCTGGGAAGATCCCACGTGCCGCGGAGCAGCTGGGCCCATGAGCCATGGACGCTGAGCCTGCGCATCCGGAGCCTGTGCTCCGCAACGGGAGAGGCCACAACCGTGAGAGGCCCACGTACCGCAAAAAATAAAAATAAAAAAAATAAAAAAGAAAGAAGTGGTTGTGAATCCAACTGAAAGATGATTTCCAAAATTGTTAGGAATTACTTGAATGTATCTATTATAATAAAAATAATTCTACAAGTTTAGCTCTAAAAGAACGGTTTGCAAATACGTCATTGCTAGAACCAAGATGCCTATTTAACCCAATTAAGCAGCTGTCAATTGGTCTCCTCCAACACTCTTAACAACGAGGTTCAGGTTAACCAAACTTTTAGTTTATTTACATTTCAGCCCATCCAGCTGAAATAAACAGTAGCAGAGAATTTCATGTGGCTTATAAATGACCATAACAAATACTATAATCATTTCAACGTAGTGAGGGTACAGATGAAGTTTCATTTGCAGACAGTTCCCTCTTAAGTACTTACAGCTTCTTGTATTTCACACCGGAAGACATGTATTCTGAAGAGCTCTGCATTGTAATGACTTTCAGTGAAAGCAAAACAGTCACTCTCAGGAGTTCCATCATGCCCCCTAACACAGAAGAGGATTTTGTAGATAGGGTAGTTTGCTATTTCAGTGTTTGTCTGAGGATCTAAGAGTCTGTTCAGAAAAAAAGATATAAAGAGGTTAGAGGGACTGTAGACTATTTTCACTACATCCATATTATGATTCAAGACTCATCTTTCTAGCAAAAAGATCATATAATCCATTTTTGGTATGCTAATCATATTAATCTTAAGTCTTGATAAGTAAGTCATATGTGAATTCTTAAAGTTACTGATTACACAATTCCATGATACTAAAAACTACATAACCCCATGTTTTACGGAGGCAATCAGGAAAGCATAAACAGTATCAATGTTTCTTATACAGTCTGTAACTAAATAAAAATAATGGCTAAATTGGAATACCAAAATAGATCATTAAAGCTGTGCTTCTCATTATCTCCTAAAAGAATGACCTAATCTGCTTTATTATTTTAAAAAATAAAAAGGTGATGTGCTTTCTCAGAGTGAAACATGTTCTTTTGCTTCATGGCAAACAAGGGAGAGAGACTGTAAAAAATGTTAACACCTAAAAAAAGAAAATCATTAATAAAATCAAAAGGATGCCATTCACTGAAAATCAAAGGGATATCATTCATTCAAAAATGTATTCATTCAACAAATATTTATGTGATACCTACAACATTTCAGGCTCCATTCTGGGCACTGATGACACAGCTATGAAAGAAACTGAAAAAGAAATTATGCAATTTCAACACTGAATGGGCAGGGCCACTGATGGGAAAGCCCAGGCGATAATGGAAATACCTAAGAAGGGGACCTAATCCAAGTTCAAAGGCACTTTGATAAAGACTCTGAAAACATGGGGCAAGAGAAACTAGTTTTCTCATGTCTTTATAGAATTAAAATATATTAGAACAAAGTATAACTTCAGTTGGGGGGAATGACTATTGACTAAGAAGCACATAAAAATGAATGCTCATATAAAAATGAGTGCTAAGGAGCTCCCTGATGGTCCAGTGGTTAGGACTTAGCGCTTTCACTGAGGTGGCCTGGTCAGGGAACTAAGATCCCACAAGCTGCAGTGCAGCCAAAGAAAAAGAAATAAACTTTATTACAAGAAAAAAAATGAGTGCTAAAAAAATTTTATTAAGTTTCACATTAATAAATACAATTAAAATTATTATTTGTGAGTCTTTGTGAAATAGTTCTTTAAATACTCAAGAGAAGAATTATATATGCAGATAACTGGAATATTAATTAATTAACTTACTACTACTGCTAACCATATACAGCTACAACTCTACTACCATAAAAATCCAAAATGACTGAGGGTGGAGAAACAGATACTCTCATACACTGCTGATAAAAGTGTATGAACTAGATCAATATTTCTAGATGGCTATTTGGCAATGTATCAAAACCCATAAAAATGGGCAAATCTTTGACCCAGTAAGTCTACCTTCTAGGAATTGATCCTAAGGAAATACAAAAATACATAAAAATTTAGCTAAAAAATAATTTATAAGAAAATTACAGGTAAAGCACTTACATGCTCATATAATAAAAGCTTAATATTCGCTATTATTAGTAGTACTTTTCTCATTAAAACAACTAAAATATGTAACATTAGAGATTGGTTATTTCTGAATAGCCCATCATGTGCCATCATAAGTTAAAATTTTTCAGCATATTTACTGATATGGAAAGAGATTCACAATATAAAAAACTAAGTGAGGAAAGCATGTTACAAGATGGTATGTATTATATTATTCCACTGTTGTTAAAAATGTTGATTCTAAGTTGTATAATTATACTTGCCCATATATGTAGGTATATACACACATACACAAACATATACAACTACACAAAAAGGGTCTTAATAAACCAAGATGTTAACTGTTATTTACCAACGGGAGAGTAGAATTAAGAATATTTTCCTAATCTAAAATATGGCACAAATGAACCTATCTACAAAACAGGAACAGACTCACAGACATAGAGAGCAGACTTGTGGTTGCCAAGGGGGAGTGGGATGAGGGAGGGAAGGACTGGGAGTGTGGGATTAGCAGGTGTAAACTATTATATAATAGGATAAATAAACAACAAGGTCCTACTGTGTAGCACAGGCAACTATAATTAATATCCTGTGATAAACCATACTAGAAAAAAATATTAAAGAAAAAAGAATGTCTATATGTGTATAACTGAGTCACTTTGCTGTACAGCAGAGATTGGCACATTGTAAATCAACTATATGTCAATAAAAAAAATTAAATTAAAAAGAGTATTTTCCTAAATTTTTGCTTGTCTGTGTCCTCTGATTTTTCTGAAATAAGTATGCATTTTTTATAATAAAGAAAAAGTTATTTTATTTCAGTTCTGTTCAACTCATTATTAGAGTTTTGTATTTAGCTCGCTAATACAGATATCTGACTGGCTACCTTTAATCACTGTTATCTGTTTCAGTTAGTATAAACAATAGCCATTTTGAGAGACTTTTCTGGGCCTCAGTTTCCTCATCTTAAAAATTTAGGATCTGTACTGGAATAGTTAATATTTACCAACAGGTTTCTGTAACTTCCAAAGTCAGCATGAAATCTCATACTGAACTAATGTGTCAAGCTAGTATTTGTATTGGGGGCACATGAGAAATATAAAGTTAGGCAGACTCTTAGGTCAACATGTTTCAATAATCCCCAAAACATTTAAATTTCTAATGTGCTACACAGAACTGGGGTGGGGAAGAGTATAAAAAACTGTTCAAACAAGTGACTGTTTTTCATAAAGGTCACAATCCTTGGAAGATGTGATAACTAAGTGCCAGATGAATTAAACATGAATAAAATAATTAGATTTTGTTCACTACTGCTTCTTTCTAAAACTATAGGTCAGAAATCTGATCAAATGTTATTGAACACAAACAGTTCAAGAAGCTGGTCTCACCTCACAGTTCCTTCAGATACATTCGGCACTGACAGGGTTACATCTAGTGAAATCTGACACTGGCCCCTTAAGATGGACATCATCCTTAAGGCTTCCACTTCACTCCTGGGAGCATTTACTGAAGCACAGCCTAAATAAGTTAGTTTGCTGAAAACTACACTGTCCTCATCAGCCACTGGTGTGAAAGGACTAGACCCTTCAGAATCTGAAAGAAACAATAAGGAGGTGATTATTTTCACTTTGATATTTTGTTGACATGAATATCAAGTAAAAATCTACAAGTTACATTTAGGTTCTAAAATTAAATACTAATAAGAGAATATGCCATTGCCCCAGAAGAAATGCCCATTAAAGCCAGAAATCTCACACCAGAACTCTGTCACCAACACTAAAAATTTTAGGCATGGCTGTAGTCTCAATCCCAAACCTAAACGGTGACCTGAGACTCAGATCTGATTTACCTTTCTGACTCCTCTAATTTGTTTTGACTTTATAATTTACATTTAGATCAAAAATACATTTAGTATTTTACCACCCTGAAAAATCCTCTCTCTGTCTTCTTTCTGATCTGCTCTGTTATAATTATTTTTCTCATTCATCATTGTAGCTACTCTATCATGTTCTCTCAGTCCCCTTGCTTTCCCTTTCCCAATAAACATCTACAGTTTTAACACCCTACTTTCCCCAAAGCCTTTATAATTGCCTTTTTTCTCCTTCCTTGCTACGTCTTTCAGCTCCCTTTTTTCAACTTGACAACTATTCCCGCCAAGCTATTAAAGGCCTGGGGCAAACATCTCTTCACCAAGCATTATTCCTCTATTTCTCCAACACTATACTCAAATTCCTTCTTTCCTGGAAAAAGATCCTTAAATACTCTAAGACTCCCTCAATGTCTTATAGCTACTGTTTCTCTTTCTGTGGTATAAATGACATACATTTAGAGTGGACATATGTATATGTATAATTGATTCACTTTGCTGCACACCTGAAACTAAAACAACATTGTAAATCAACTCTATCCCAATAAAAAATTTTTTTAAACTGACATACATTTAAAGGGAAATCAGAATAGTACATACATTTACTCTTCTCACATCCCCCTAAATCTAGAATCTGAAGATTCTAGAGAACATAGATAATGGGTTTTGCTCGCTTTGAATCAAACCTAGTACAGAATGGACACTCAAATATTAAAAACAATAACCTTCAGTTATGCAAGCAATGCAGCAATCCTAACCTCCTTGTCCAGGTTTCACTGGCAGGCTCATCTCTGGTTTCTGGAGCCCTACTAATGACACAGGGTTAATGGTGGATGAAGCTGAGAGTTGATTAGAAAGAGGCCCATCTCCTTCGCCATCCAATTGTGACCTTTCCACAAGCTCCTTGTCCCCTGGCTGGTCGTCCATTGGAGGATCCATCAGCACATCTGCTAGCTCTTTTTGCAGCTGCTGTTCACTTCCATTCCCTATAATCTAAGGGTCACAAATATATGCAATCAACAAAATGAGAGAGGCCAGTACTGATTTAAATGGGTCCACATCTAGAGAAAATCATCAGCAATTCTTTTGATATACAGATATCTTCTGAATGTCTTTAAAAAACAGAATAAATCAAGATCTATAATAAATAAGAGCTGCAGCTGCTCTCTTAATTGATACAGCTTTTCATGAAAAAGTGTATAGTGAATTTGAGACCAATACCCAGAAATATATGTGATAGTCTGTCAATTTTATTAAAAGTTTTCTACAGTGTCCTAAACTAATTAACAACTAAAATATTTGTAATTTTACTTGTATGATGAGAAATAAAGCTTGTTAAGAGGAGAAGCTTCTCGGACTTGCCTGGTGGCGCAGTGGTTAAGAATCCACCTGTCAATGGAGGGGACACGGGTTTGAGCCCTGGTCCAGGAAGATCCCACATGCCGCGGAGCAACTAAGCCCATGCGCCACAACTACTGAGCCTGTGCTCTAGAGCCCGCAAGCCACAACTACTGAGCCTGCGTGCCACAACTACTGAAGCCCGCGCGCCTAGAGCCCATGCTCCGCAACAAGAGAAGCCACCACAATGAGAAGCTCGCACACCAAAACGAAGAGTAGCCCCGCTGCTCGCCACAACTAGAGAAAGCCCACGCGCAGCAACAAAGACCCAACACAGCCAAAAGTTAATTAATTTTAAAAAAGAGGAGAAGCTTCTCTTATGCTTAAGGAAAAGGGAAAATGTGTTTGCTCCCGAAAATTATCAGTAAAAACATACTTATTAGGTAGTAAATCATCACATGCATTTTTACCACCCTTGCTATAAGTTAAGTCTCCTGTATTTCTGAGGGAGACTTCACTGACATAAATAGTTCTTAAAGTTCTGAGACATTTGAATAAAGCTGGGGAGATGTACGTATAAAATGACCCTGAGGAACAGAACCCTTTTCAACGTCAAGTATTTTTCTAGAGTCATGATGGTTTATTATTAGTTGCTCAACAAGGAAGTAAACAAGTGCAGAATCAGGTGGAGAATCAGGTGCCCAACGCTAAGGAAAACCACAAGGGACAAAACCCAGTATTGTCACCAAATGCTTATTCAAGAAATACTAGAAAAATTAACAAGAGAATTAATTTACGAAAAGGAAATCATGATGAAAAAAAAAGTGTGCTAATTTAGGAGGGTTTCTGAAGACTAAAACCTGACAAAAAGTTAAAATGGGTGGGGCTATGAGATTGTTAAAGACAATGAGGTCTTCCCAGTAAAATTAAGACACAGTTAAGAAGCAAAATTCCAATAACAGAGGTACTCTGGACTAAGGAACCCAGTTCAAACATCTTTTGTATCTCTATAAAATTCAAGTCCCTTTGGCTGTAAACTATGATTGAGAAACAGTCTTAAGTCTTTTTTGCTTCATTTTCCCAAGGAAATTCTAACATGTCAGCTATTCTTGCCTTGGAAATAAGGACGGGAGAGGTGTTCAGTCTCTGGTTTCAATGACAGCATCTGTTTTTGTGAACTTCCTTTTATATTCAGAGTTACTGCTATTGGAACTACAATTCAGTCAAATAAGTTTAACTCTTTGTTATGACTGATCCTATACATCACAAGTGTAATCAAATTTCTTTTTTCAGAAGTTCTCCTTTCAAAAGTTTTTGAAAGCACCTAGAAAACAAACTAGAGCTTAGTTCTAATTAACCTCTTATTTTTTCAGAACTGGACAAGAAATACTGCAGGAATCACCTGCAGGAAATAAAAGATAGCCTAACTGAATCTAAACCATTGTCCAAGTGGAAGGAGAAATAACATAAGTAGGATATTTACAGCTCCCTAAAAACAGATGAAGAAAAGATATTAGACTCCATGTTTAAGCAATTAGTAATTATAACTGGGAAGGTTACCATTAAAGAGCAAACTAAACTGAAGACATTTTACATGCTATGAGGTACTGTTTTTTCTTTGGTATATAGGCTAAATAAACTCAAGTTTTCTTTTGGATAGACTACCTCCACTGTAATATATTTACAAACCCTGAAAGAAACATGTTTATATGTTTGCCTTTTGTGTTTATACATGTTTATCTGCATTCTTCCCTTGTTTATAAAGTCTGTAAACGTAAGAACTGCCTTCTATTTCCTTAACTCTTCCTTAAAGGGTAGGAAAAAGTAATGCACACACACAAAAATGATTTTTAAAAGCTGCTTAAAAATAGCAACCTAACTTATGCTTTGAATAATTAGGTCCAATACAGTACTCAGCACTTACCACGTTAGATCATTTGTGCACCTTCAATCCAATTTCATACTTAACTATCTGTCACATAATTTAATACTTATCTCAATTAAGTTTTTTGTTTTTTAAAAGACAGTCAATTAATCTTCCCTAGGCTTATCTGGGAAACACTCAGCAATGCTTTTCAAGGTTCTCAAGCTTTGGCATGCCTAAGAATCACCTGGTGAACTTGTTGAAACACAATCTGTTGGGCCCTAACAAGAATTCCCATTCAGTAAGGCTGGGATGGGCCTGATAATTTGAATTTTTAAAAAGTTTCCAGGAGATGGTGATGCTACTAGTCTGGAGACCACACTCTAAGAACCAACCTTAGATTAATGGTTCTTAACCATGACTAAACAACACAATTACCAATATCACCAGGGAGCATGTTAAAATTAAAATACCTGATCCTCCCTCTATCCCCTCACCTCCTACCCTAGCAACTAAATCAGTCTCAGAGATAAAGCCTTGGCATATGCATTTTCAAGAACTTCCACAGGTGATTTACAAAACAAGTGGCAGGCCAGATTAGGCCAGCAGGCTATAGTTTGTTAACCCCTCGTATAAATGAACAGCTTAAATCAGCAACTGCTTGTCTGACCTCTTGTCATAACAAAAATAAACTCATTATTAGTAGGGCTTTCTGTTCCTTGCTGCCAACAGCATTCCTAACAGATACCACGATGATCTCTAAAATAAATGGAGTTGCAGGTAAAGTAATCAAGACACGGTATTAGTGAAAGGACAGATAATACAGAACAAGGAAACAAAATAGAATCCAGAAATAGACCCACACATACATGGCCAATTGGTTTCAACAAAGTTGGCCAGATAATTCAACAGAGAAAGGTAATAAAATAAAACAAATGGTGGTGGAACAATTAACTTGACATCATACATATGCAAAAACATCAATCTCTTTATGTCACATACAAAATTAATGAAAAATGGACTGCAGATCTAAATGTAAATCCTAAAACTATAATATTTACAGAAGAAAACACAGGAAAAAAATCTTTGTAATTCTGGGACACAAAGATTTCTTAGGACATAAAAAGTATGCATAAAAGAAAAAAATGAAACGCACTTTATTAAACTAGAAACTGCTGCTTGGAAGACACTGTTCACAGAATGAAAAGACAAGCCGCAGACTTCAAGAAAATATTTACAAATCATATGTCTGATGAAGGAATTATATCCAAAATATCCACAGAATTCTTATAACTCAATAATAAAACAAGCAACCCAATTTAAATAAAGGGCATTTCACGCAAGAAGACAATGCAAATAAGCATTTGAAAGAAACTCAGTATCATTAACCATCAGGGAAACTGACACCACTATAGGATGCCGCTATACACCTATAAGAATGAAAATTAAAAACAAAACAATCCTGAAAATACCAAGCGCTGGCAAGAATGTGGAGCAACTGAAAAACTCTCATACACCGCTGGTGGGAATACAAAATGGTAGTCACTTTATGTAAATTTTATAAAGTTAAACATACACTTATCTATGACTCACTCCTAGGTGTTTACCCAAGAAAAATAAAAATACATGTCTATACAAAGACCTGTCTGTGAATGTTTATAGCAGCATTATTCATAATTGCCAAAAACTGAATACAAAGTAAATGTTTATCAGCTGGTGAATGGATAAACAAACTGCCACTGATACTAAAATAACATGGATAAATCTCAAAAGCATTATTCTAAGTAAAAGAAGTGGACACAAAAGGCTATATACTGTATGATTCAATTTACATGGCATTCCAGAAAAGGCAAAACTATAGAGACAGAAATCAGATCACTGATTGTCAGAGGCTGGGAAGGGGAAAGATGAATGACTAAAAAGAACTATAAAGGGACTTTCTGGAGTAATGAAAATATTCTGTATCTTGACTGTGGTGGTCGTGGTGATTACGTAAGAGTTTACATTCATTAAAGTTCATAGAACTGCATACCTAAAAGGGTTGTATTTTACTGTGTGTAAATTTTACCTCAATAGACTTAAACTTGGAAGGGGATATTCATAGCGGGAGAGGCTATGCATGTGTTGGGGCAAAGGTTATATGGGAAACCTCTGTACCTTCCTCTCAATTTTGCTGTGAATCTAAAACTGCTCTTTTAAAAAAGCCTATTTTTTTTAATAGAAAAAAAATGTGGTTTCTATGAAAGATGCAATTTGAGAACACAACTGTTCCTTTTCTCTACATGCCCCTCAAAAGGTGTTCGTCCAGGATTCTGTTTTTGGCAATAACTTCATTTTACAGATTTTCCTGTGCCATTTCATCCAATCCCAATGATACATAAACAATCCCTAATATACATCTACAACCCCTCCCTGTCTAATGGACAGACACCTTCAGCTAGATACTCCAAACTTACGTCAAAACTTAACTCTAATTCTCTTCCTGTATCTTTAAAAAAAAATTAATGAATTGCACTACTTTCCACTCAGTTACCAAATGAAGGATTACAGTCATCCTTCACTCCTCTCATTTCCACACTACTCACAAACCCTACTGCTCCTTGCTCAACTGCCCATTTTTTTCCTTCTGTCTCTCTGCATAGCTAACACCATAGGAATCTCTTTCATTTTACATAAGCCTACCTACTGGAAAGGTAGTAGTTTCCCTGCCTTCTTTCTCACTCCCCTCTGATTTATCATTCATCTGGCCATTCAAATTACAAGTGCAAATCTTAGTTCTGATCAAGCACTG